AGCAGAGAACGCGAGCGCTCCCGCCGAGGGTTCGGATCCCACATACAGACCAGTTCCCGCTCACTGGCTGAGCGAGGTGTGGGCGCAGCACCAAGGGTTGCGATCCCGTTGCCGGTCCCGGTCCGGTACAGGCGTGACACTGAGGGTTGCGATCCATTGCCGGACACGAAAAAAAAGACAAAAAGGAAAAAAAAAAAAAACCACAATTGTGTACTATTTTCCATCTATCAGATTGGCAAAGATAAAAAGTTTGATAACATAATATAGGCAAACAGGTACTTCTCATATAAGAGGGGATTGAGGAGGATTGTACATCTTCTGTGGAGGGTAATTTGACCAAGTCTGCAATTTTAAATGCACAGACCCTTTGGATCAGCATATATAAATGCTTATATAAATCCAGCATATCTCTGGCAGGGTAAATAAGGAATTGGTAGTAGTGAATGCCTCTGGGGAAAGGAACTAGGTGTCTGGGAGGAAGGATTTATTTTTTACTATACACTATTGTATACCTTTTTAGTTTCATCATGGGCTTATATTATCTGTTCAAAAAATAATTGTTTAAAAGAGAATAAGTTGTATTTATTCATGAAATATCTACTGATGTACCAGGCGTTTTTCTAAACATTAGGACACAAAAAGCAAGTCAGACCAAGTCCCTGCCCTGCTCATGTTTACTTTCATTTGCTCCCAGATCCTCAGCCTTTTCCTATGGTCTTCTTATTTCCATATATTCAAATGGATCAAGTTTTTCCTCCCCAAATTTCTCCTGATATACTTGGTTCTCATCCCTTCTATGTTAACGGATAACAAAGTTATGTATATTCTTTTTCATTATTTGTCTTCGAACATCTTAAGCCTCCACAAAACCATAACTAAATGCATTCTAATTGGTTATGGTGGTGATTTCAGTGCAGTAGGCTTATCCATAAAAAGAGTATAAGTAATTTCCTTTGAAATTAAAATAATGCTAGTTACTATAGTCTTTTTTATTTTACTGATTAATATTTATACATCATACTACTTCAAATACCCAGTGAAAGCTAAACATTTTCATAGGTCTTATCTTCCTATAGAAAGTTATGTATACCCTTTATAAAAATTAGGAAAGCAGAAAAGTATAAAGTAGAAACAACAGTGGTGCTGGCCAGTTAGCTCACTGGGTTAGAGCACAGTGCTAATAACACCAAGATCCAGGATTCCATCCTTGCACCAGCCAGCTGCCAAAAAGTAGAAAGAAAGAAAGAAGAAAAGAGCCATCACCTTTAACCCCCGTGAAGGAGTTCAGGAATTGCGAGTGAAGCAAGGTCCAGTTATTACGAGGAAAGACCAGCTTCATGGTGGCGTTCTCAGTGATTTGCAACCAGCCAGCATCAATCAGTTCCTCAGTCTTGTAAGCATAGAAACCTGAAATTTTTAGGACATAGAATAAAGCCTTTTCTTAGATAGACTCATTTTAGCCAAGCTGTAAATTAAGCACCTTTCGTTTGTTATTAACATGCCTCCAGTGTTGGACCCCAACCCAACTGTTGGCCTCGTATCACAGCACTTCTACCCCATGCATGTATCCTTGGCTCCCGCCCTCAGGGTCACCTGCCATCTCCCCAGCACCCTACTCCTCAAGCATCATACCTGCGTTCATGTCTGCTCTCTCAGCCTGGCATGCCCGTGAATCTGGAGTTACCCTTCAGGCTCCAGCTAAAACACCATCTTCTCTGATGCTTTCTCCAAGTTCCCTCATCAGAATGACTCATTCCTATGAGTATTTTGTATGTTATTTTCTACATTATACCTACTTTATATGCATGCCTGACTCTCCTGCTCTACATAAGCTCCTTCGGGACAGGACTGCTTCCATTGATATCTCTCCCTTTTTCCGCATTCGCCTGTGCCTACCCCACCATAGTCCCTCTCTACATTGGCTCATGGTGCTACATTCATCTTTTTCAGATGTATACCCAAACCACAAGTCTGCCTGACGACTTTTGATAAATTTGGATGTAACCAATATGAGTGTGTGCCAAGACAGCTTGCCTGTGACCAGGTTCGCGATCCTGTTTGTGACAAAGACCACATGGAGCACAATAATCTCTGCACTTTGTACCAAAGAGGAAAAAGCCTCTCTTACAAAGGCTCATGCCAGGTACAGTTGTTTGGCTGACAAATCAAAGTACAATAGGCATACAATTGGTTTATGATCTTTTACAGGTGAATCAGCAGTAAGACCACTTGAAGGTCTTCTGTAAATCCTGTCAAATGTAGAGAACCCAATCCTCCACTAAAAATGAGGACTGGCTCTTTCTCCTAACTCTGGAAGGCTGCCTTGCTAGTGCGTGTGCCTTTGCACATCTAGTATACAAGCAAGAATAGAGAGTGGCTTCTTGCAGCCCACTCCTGGGAAAAGAATTTAAAGCTTCACACCCCTGCCATGGTCAACATGACTTTCACTTCTCATAGCTCTGTGGGCCCTCACCAGAAAACAGACCAGGAAGAAAATGAGTTAAAACAAGAAAAGAGCTTTTTCACTTTTCCCACCACAGTCCCACCTCCTGTGGTCCTGAAAAGCAACTGAACATTTCTCTAAGACTTACTGTCTTTTTTATCAGCTTCTCTCTCTGTCTTTTAGGGTTGTGGAATCTGCATTCATGTACAAAAAAAAATAACCCCAAGGAAAACCCTTTTGGGGCTTCCCGTATGCACCACTGATTTCATGCTGGCCCTTCTTCCTGGGGGTTTCCTACCTTTGGGCCCAGCCCACTACCAGCTAACCCCTGACACATGACTTCTTCTCATTCCCTGGTCTTTATGATTAGAAAAAAATCCCCTCAGCTTGTCTCCCTAGGCTTGTTTTCTCTCAAAGCCTCTGTTCCAGTTGCACTGATACTGTCTACTCTACATTTCCAGTCTTCTCTTCCTGTTTGTTCCCTCTTCCTGGCCATGATTTTTCTCTGATATATTCCTAACCTATCCACAGGTCCAGATCTGTCTGCCTCACTGATCCCTCCACCCTTCCCGCTGCCTATTCTATACCCAGCATGAAATGATAAGGCCTTGCATTTGCATGCAGATTGATCTTGTTCTCTTCAAACAGGCACTTCTGGGATACTAATAGGTGGGGTGGTGGTGGGAGGAGGTGGCAGGGGTGGTGGGGCTGTGGCAGGAGGGGGATTTTTATCTCATATTAGTTCACATGGAATGAGCACCCAAGTCTCAGAGAGGCTGAGAAAAGTAATCTTTTCAGTTCATCCCAAGATAACCCTATTGCTTTCTGCCCCCCTCTCAGCCTACATTAGGAGCTTAAGAAGGTCTCCACAATTTCTACCTGTGTCTTTTTTCCTTCCTGAAAATAGGGAGATGTGTTCTATACCCTTGGTTAGCAAAGGTGCACCATAGAGGTTTCCAGGCTAACTGTGATTTGTTTGCCTTCAGCCCTTCTGCAGAGCCACAGAGCCCGTCTGTGGGCACAATGGTGAGACCTATAGCAGTGTGTGTGCTGCCTACTCAGACCGTGTGGCAGTAGATTACTATGGGCCCTGCCAGGCTGTTGGGGTCCTCTCAGAGTACAGTTCTGTCGCCGAGTGTGCTGCTGTGAAGTGTCCTTCACTCTCAGTGACTAGATGCAAACCCATCATCCCACCCGGTAGGCTGGCAATATTTGGGGTGGGCAGGGGTGGGATGGGGAAGATTTGCTTATCCACCTCCAGAGAGTGAGTCCTTGAGAAAAGAGTTGACTAGTTTATTTAAATTTTTCAAAAAGTCTTGAAGGGACTTTTATGCTGATTAGGAACATTATTCTGGGTTGACCTCTAAAAGCTATGAATTACCTTAGATATCAGCTGGTCCTGTGATTTTAAAACAATACAGCAACCTTTTTTCAAACAAAATCTTACACCAAACACCAGTATATAAACAGATAAAGGAGTATGAGGGTACTTCAAAAAGTTCATGGTTAGAGCGTGATGTTGATATCCCAAAGTCCAGGGTTCGATCCTTGTACTGGCCCGCCACAAAAAGAAAAGAAAAGAAAAGAAAAAAATTGTGGAAAAATAGAATTGGAAGATAAAATGAATCTTCCCATGAACTTTTGAAGTACTCTCATATAGTTGCCCCTTTGTATCCACAGGTTTCACATCCCCAGATTCAACCAACCTCAGATGGAAAATATTCAGAAAAAAAATAAAATAAAAAATAACATACAACAATAAAAACAATACAAGTAAAAAACAATACAATATAACAACTCTTTACATAGCATTTACATTGTATTAGGTATTTTAAGTAACCTAAAGATTATTTGAAGTGTATAGGAAGATGTGTGTAGGCTATATGCAACTTCTCCATTTAATATAAGGGTCTGGAGCTGATTATAGTATCTGAGGGGGGTCCTGGAACCAATTCCTTGTGGATACTGAGGGATGACTGTTTGATTACTAAAATGAGGGTTATTAGTTTAAATGCATAGTGTTTACTTACTACAGTTAATGAGTAATGAATCAATAATGAATGAATGAATATTGAAGTCATTTTGATGAATAGAAACATTTGAAATTGAGAGAAACAGAAGATTGTTGTGTTAGATTGGCTTTAGCATATAATTTAATTGTTTTAGTTGCATATAATCAGGAAAGTCTTGTTTCACACTGTTGTGAGCAGCAATAGTTTTTTTGAACAGCTTTTCTTACAATCTCACACTCCTCAGTTTCAGAGGTGGCAGAAGAGACTTTATTCCAAGTCTGCATAGAACAGGTTAATCTGGAGTCTTAAGTTCATTGCTCTACCCATTAATTCATCAAATATTAATTATTGAGCTTTCACTACATGCCAGTTTTCTAAGCACTGAGGACACAGCAATGAGCAAAACAAATCCTTTTTCCTCCTGGAGATCATGTTCTGAGGGAAGTGACAGACCAAACACAAATCACAGTGCAAATCCATACTAAGTTCCGGTGGCAACAAGTCCGTGAGGTGAAATGAAGGGGGAGGATTAGGAGGGCCTGGGGTGGAGAGGTTGCCAATGGATGGGTTAATGAAATATAGTATAGTATTATGTTTGATTATAACATATTTTTTATGGTTTTTGAACAGTTTAAAATAATTTTTAAAATTAAATTTGAATCAAACACTCGTGGAACCTCTGAAACACCAGCTCCCTTATTTTGCAGACAAAGGCCCAGAGAAAGCATTTACCTTGGATCACACAGTGAGTTTTGAGGCAGAGTAGGGTTGGGCCTCATGTCTCTTTAAAGGCCAGCTCTCTCTGTGCTGTCTACACCACAGCTGCCTCACCCTGAGAAGTGCTGAAGGATGAAAGCAGGGATGGAAGAAGGATTTTTGTAAATGTACATATTATAAGACCCAGGTTGGTCAGGGAATATATCTAAAGCTGCAGTCATCAGGATGGACAGCTATAACTCTCCTAGTCCCAAATGAAGGGTTTGTCATTTCACCAACTATTTTGAATTCTCCTTGTTTCTTTTTTTTTTTTCTTTTCCCCTTTTTGTCTTTTTTCGTGACCGGCAACGGATCGCAACCCTCAGTGTCGCGGCTACCCTCAGTGTCGCGCCCGTACCGGACCGGGACCGGCAACAGGATCGCAACCCTCGGTGTTGCGTCCGCACCTCGCTCAGCCAGTGAGCGGCCGGTCTGTATATGGGATCCGAACCCTCGAAGGGAGCGCCGCCGCGCTCCCAAGCGGTGCACTGTAGCAGTGCGCCACCAGGCCGGCCCAGAATTCTCCTTGTTTCTAATTCTGAACACATAAAACGGTTTCTGTTATACAGGTGCTTGTTGCCCATTATGTGCTGGGATGTTAAGAGTTTTATTTGACAAAGAAAAGCTGGATACCATTGCTAAGGTAAATTGTTTTATATGCCAGGTACTGTTGAAACCTTATTGCTAAACTTCTCAGTAACCCTAGAGAGTAGAATATACGTCTCTGTTTATAGCTGAAGAAACTAATCTTCAGAAAAGTGATTTGCCCAAGGCCATACAGCTCACAATCAGTAGACCCGGGTTTGCACTCAAGCTGGCTGGCTCCCAAGCCTACACTCCTTCCGTCTACACCCTGGCTGTGCACCTCACAGTCAGCCTGAGCCTTTCTTAGGAAAAATCACCTACTGGCATAGTAAGTGTGTAGTTATAGGCTGAAGGTAGAACCAGGGAGCCAGAGACTGGTAGATGCCCAGATGGTGTCACACCAGTCCCCATTCCTCCTGATGGGAACGTCTGGAGCCTGCCACCTTCCCAGGATAGTTTTGCCACTTTCCCTCTTCTGTGTGATCACTTTTGCTGCTCCCGTTTATGGAGACAGGGCTCCAGGAAGAGAGTAGCCAACACTTGCCACCACCTAGGGAATTATCCCCATTTTGTTTTACCTATATTTTTACAGGAATATTGTAATTATTTCTCTGTGGCCTCTAGCTCAGAACAGTCACTTTTTAAAGAGTGCTTCTAATGAGAGTATTTATCTTGGCTACAAAGCTCCACGGTTAGGCAATTGAAATGAACCCTGGCCTAGCAGAGCTGGGTTGGTCTCCTGCTGAGGGGTTCCTCAGTCAAAAGAGCCTCCTCAGCTGGCAGCCTGGAGCAAGGAAACTTGGACAGTAATAGGGAATTCTTCTTTTCTTCAGGTAATAGAAATGTTTTCTATTCCTAGGTAACAAACAAAAAGCCAATAACAGTTCTGGAAATACTTCAGAAAATCCGCATGCATGTATCTGTCCCACAGTGTGATGTATTTGGATACTTCAGTATTGAGTCAGAAATCGTGATCCTGATCATTCCTGTCGATCATTTTCCAAAAGCTTTGCAGGTAGGCTTCAGCACACATTGTGCAGCCTTCTTGTCACTTTCAACTTTGGTGGACTTAGGAGGGGGTGGCCACAAACCAGGCCTCAGGAAGGATCAGGGGAGAAGGAAATGGAGGCATTTGAAAAGTTCAGCCGGGCAGGAGAGAGAGAAGCAGGGCAGTCTCTGAAGGACTGAGCACTTTTCCAGGCATCCGAGGCATGGGACATCTGTCACACATGTGACAGCAGAATGCAAAGGAGCCAGGGGAAGGGAGAGGTTAAGATAATGCAACTCAGACTGTGCAGAGTTGGGGGGGTCTGGGAAATTGTTGAATCAAATCTGCCCATTGTGCAGATGACGCAGCCCAGGCCCAGGGAGGGAAGGGACTGGTACAGGTGATGTGGTGACAAAGCCAGGATAGACTCTGGTCGGTCTCCTGAGGGCTGTGCTCCCACTGTGGTGGAGGACCCCACCAGATCTGGTTGTATGGGCCCCAATTTTTCTTTCTCACAATCTAGACACATGTGGAACCCCACTCGTGTAGGCCCAAGCTTCAGAATCACAGTAATGAGGGCTCAAGTGAAGGAGACGAATGCAGGCGGCTTGTGAGCTGCTATCACTTTAAGTCAAATTGCTTCCGTGCTCATGTTTAAATAGGCATTGAAAGTACATTCACCTCCTATGACTATATTTAACAGTGCAAAGATCATGTTTAAATGTGGATAAGAGGTGAACAGGATTGTGTAGAAATGAAAACAGTTGATTGATTAGGGCAGTTGCATTGTGATTGCTTCTTTTCTGACTTGATTTCCATTAATGCTGTTATATTTATATAATAAACTAAGACAACAATAAAAAGTTACTTTGGCTAAGAAAAGAACAATAAAGAGAAAGCAAATTGCCTTTGAGGCCACACTACTTTTGGGACATGTGGAATTTGTCTGGCTTGACCTTTTCACAGGTTCTGTGGTTTTATATTAAAAGAATCTTATTTTCCACTCTCAGATTGAAGCCTGCAATAAAGAAGCAGAGAAGATCGAATCCCTTATCAATTCTGACAGCCCTACTCTGGCATCCCACGTCCCTCTCTCTGCCCTCATCATCTCCCAGGTGCAGGTCTCTAGCAGTGTGCCGTCGGCCGGCATTGGGGCCAGGCCACCGTGCCACTCCTTCCTCCTGCCCCTTAGCCTGGGCCTTGCCTTGCGCTTGTTCTGGACACATAACTGACTGCCCATGAAAGGTGCAAAATGGTCCTCAACCTAACCTTTCTACCTTGTGCAAGACATTCGGGATTGCTGGTTTATAGCTGAATAGTGGCCAACTAAAGCACAAGTCACCTCTGTTCACCACACAGTATTTTTTTTTTTAATCTGCCAATATTAGTAGGGTTTTTGTTTTGTTTTTACAAATGTTAAAATACGTTCTTCCAAATACTAATGAAAAGAGGATGTCTCTTTCTGGTGGATCACTGCCTTATGATTTCCATTTTGCTTACTAGATGGGTCCCCTACTCTAAAGCAAATTTAATATCACTGATAAATGAGTTGATCACTTTTTAGAAAGATAACTCACTTTACTATCAGGTTCATGTCACGGACACTTCATTTCAAAGTTCCTCTAAGTATTAAGGTGCCCCTTGTATTTGTTTTTGTTTACAGATAATTACCTACTCTATCTAGAAGCTAGGGGTCCTAGTGAAGAGCCCTGCTAAGAGAGAGTATGAAATTAAGCATTTTTGAAATTAGAATGTAAATCATCAGGCAAATTTCAGTTAATTTATAGAAATTTAATTTAGGACTCTATCTATTGTGTTAAGCAAAAGCGAGCTGACTAAATGTCACTCATATAATAATATGTTGTGACAGTCTCAGTGGTCACTGATTTGTGTTTGTGTTTGTGACTTGTGAAAGGGAGATGTGACATTGCATCAAAGCGTCTTGCATTATGCAATTTATATATTAACCAGATATATATTCTTTGGTATTCATCCGAGTTAAATTTAGAGTTTTTAAACATCAATCTTTAAACCAGTTGCTGCTATTTATATAATTGCCAAAAAGTGAAATAATTAGTAGTTCATGTAAATAATACATGATTTTTCTATTTTATTATGAAAAAGGTGAATAGCCATATTTGTAAAATGACAATCATGTGTGTTAACCCAGGACTTTCCGTTCATGAAAACACATTTGCTTTTTGTGATATGCACAATGTAGATAAGTGTTCTGTCTGACTTTCTTTTTTGATATAGAATGATAAAGAATTGTAGTTTATATATTTTAAAATTCAAACTGAGTATTAAAATGTTTGTATGTTGTCTAAGAAATTTAATACCATGAATGTGTTTCACAGTTTGAAATAAGCTATTCAATGTAATACTTGTTTATATGCACCTGAACCTAGATTTTACATGAAGTATTTTTTTCAGTATTATATGTACTCTCTGAAATACATAGGGATATGCTTTTTATACCAAAATGTTGTTGAAAAGTGGGCACTTAAAGTTTTCAGAATATCTCAGTGCTGATGTAGCATGTTGGTTGCAATTGCTTTTTTCTGTATAAATGTCTTCAATGCAATATACGAGAAAGCTTTTCTATTTTAATAAAAATAATTTTTATATGATCATGTGTACTTCCAAGTAATGTGGACATTCAAAATGAGACCACTGATCACCCTTAGGTGAGCTGTGTCCTTTGCTCTGGAATAAGAAGTCATGGAGTGCTATTATCCCAAGCCAAGGGCACTGGGAGAGCAAGGCAGCTAGAACAGAACTGGTCAGACCAGATCGAGGCGGGACCAGAGGGCAGGCAGTGAATGGCAGAGAGTCAAGGACAAATTTGCTCTGGAATAAGAAGTCATGGAGTGCTATTATCCCAAGCCAAGGGCACTGGGAGAGCAGGGCAGCTAGAACAGAACTGGTCAGACCAGATCGAGGCGGGACCAGAGGGCAGGCAGTGAATGGCAGAGAGTCAAGGACAAAGACTCCAGCTCTAGGCCTTCAGGACACAGAGCTTCAGTCCTTCCAAGACCAAGGAACAGGCTAGGCAGTTCCTCTCCCCACTGTGTTGGGCCTGATGTTCTAGCTCCAGGAGACATCCTGGGGCAGAGAGAACTTTGGAATATGGAGATGGTGGGCCTGTCGTTCCGACCTGAGAGGTAGTACCAATCACCTCAGCCTAACTCCCCAAAACCTCAGTGGCTTACAAGCATAAAAACTTCTATCTTGTTCCCTTCACATATCCATGGTGGGTCAGCTGCAGGCCTTTTGGACACAAGGTCACTCCAGGACCCATTCCAGTGTCCTCACAAAAGGGAGAAAAAAGATACAGAAAACCACAAGCTGGCTCTTAAGCTGTCCTCAGAAGTGACACTGTCATTTCTGCCTACAATTTACTGGCCAATGCAAGTCACATGGCCGCTCCTGAGTTCAAAGGATGGAGGCGTATAATCTTCCCATGGTGTTTGTGTGTGTTGTTGTGGGGAGATGCAGTAAGTATTTTGAATAATACTTTCTACCACAGAGGTCTGTTCTCATCAGGATAGGACAACAGCCAGGACTGACTAGATTTTTTACTAGAAAAGCAGTAGGAGTTCCACGGTCTGGGAAGGAAGTAAGAGAATTGAGAAGGGTACTTGGCTTTGAAGGAGGTATCTCAAGGGAGAGAATGATGTAAACGCTGGCTTGCTCTGGGTACACAATGATAAGAACGCTGAAAATGGTGATGGAAAAACCAAACCCAAGTTCAGTTCAGGAGATAATGTTTCTCGGTTGCCAGCTGCTGTGGTGGACACCTCGGTGGCCTCGTGGACAGATTACCATGACCTTCCAGCACCAGAGCAGTGGAGTCCCTGCCAGATGGCTCTCCAGGGTTCTGCCCAGGGCCGAGGGTGTCAGTCTGGGAGAGGCCTTGGGATCCTACAGGAGAGAACTGGGACTATGGAGAAGAGAAAGAAATGGGGTTCCTGTGCTCTATATTTTTACCAGGGACCAGTAGGAGAGAGTACCTGGAAGTCCAGAAGAAAGCAGTTCTGCAGGAAGAAGACAATTCAGAAGGTGTGGTAACTGCATGAAAATGGATTCTAGAGAGTCTTCTATGGTCATGAGTAATGAAACCAAAATACTAGAAAAACAGATGAAATACCTCCCTGTCCAGTCTACACATAGTAATTGGGAATGGACCCCAAGAGGCTCATAGTTCTGGCTCGGGTCACATGCCCACTTCCGTGGTAGAGGAGGAAAGTTAGGGGAACTTCAGCCCCACCTAAACCAGATGTAATGAATTCCCCATGGGAAAGAATTCTGTTCCTAGAATAAGCCTCCTGCTAGATGTGTCCTCTGGGGAGTGTGCATCTCTCTAACAGGCCATTAGCTCCCAAACCAATTCAACCTGTGACATTCAACAGCACCTCACCCTCAAGCCGGGTGCACACCTAGAGATGTACACATTAGCCACTGGAGCTCAGTAACAACCAAGGGTGCTTTGTAAGAATGATCTGTTGAAAAAGTGGATTATCCAAAGTGACTAATAATAAAATAACTGTTATACCCAGAGCAAAAATGGCAACAAAGCTCAGAAGAGACTGCAATGACTGCAGAACATTTAAATCAGTTAGTGCAAAAAGAAGCAGGCCCACTTGGAAAAGATTCTGCCTGCCTCCTGTGTGCCTAGTTCCAGAGCCAGTTCTGCTATGGTCTTAATGTTTGTGTCCCTGCAAATTCTTATGTTGAAATCCTAACTCCCTAGGTGATAGTATTAGGAGGTGGGGCCTCTGGAAAGTGAATAGAGCATGGGGGCGGAGCCCTCACGACTGAGATTAGTGCCCTTGTAAAAAGGTCTGAGATGGGCCGGCCCGGTGGCGCACTGGAGAGTGCACCGCTTGGGAGCACAGCGGCGCACCCGCCAAGGGTTCGGATCCCATGTGGAGACCGGTTCCCGCTCACTGGCTGAGCGCGGTGCAGGCGCAACACCGAGGGTTGTGATCCCGTTTCCGGTCAGTAAAAAAGACAAAAAGGAAAAAAAAAAAAAAAAGGTCTGAGAGAGACCTCTTGCTGCTTCCACCATGAAAGGTCACAGCAAAAAGGCAGGGCCACTATGAGCCAGTAAGGGGGCCCTCACCATACAGCAAAAATTGCCTTGATCTTAGACTTTTCGGCCTCCAGAACTGTGAGAAATTTTTGTGATTTATAAGCCACCCAGTGTATTTTGTTATAGCAGCCCAAACAGACTAAGACAAGCTCTATCAGAGCTTCCTAAGAGCTCCAGGACAAAGGACCCAGGCTTAAGGCCAAGTCCAAGGTTGAGTTACATTCTGGAGCAGAACCTCAGGGAGTTAGGCTGATGGAGATAAGGTAAGGCAGCAAGGCTTCCCAGTGCCACCCACTCTTCCATTTCTCCAAAATGAAGTTCATTGCACCGTTTTTTTGTTGTTGTTGTTGTTTTGTCCTTTTTGTCCTTTTTCGTGTCCGGCAACGGATTGCAACCCTCAGTGTCGCGCCTGGACCAGACCGGGACCGGCAACAGGATCGCAACCCTCGGCATCGCGCCCGCACCTCGCTCAGCCAGTGAGTGGGAACCGGTCTGTATGTGGGATCCGAACCCTTGGCGGGAGTGCCGCCGCACTCCCAAGCGGCGCACTGTAGCAGTGTGCCACCGGGCCAGCCCCATTGCACCGTTTTTTCATTGTAGGAATAATACATGCACGTTCTCCAAAACGCCTGCAAATACAAACAACAAAAAAAGTCCCACACCTCCCTCTCCCTACCTCTACCAATCAATGAGTACAGAATCCTTCTAGAGCCTTCTCTGTATATACAAGGGGTCTTCAAAAAGTTCATGGAAAGATTTGTATTATCTTTTAATTATATTTTTCCATGAACTTTTTGAAGTACCCTTGTATATTTCTCTGTATATAATTGGGGCAGGGTCCTTCCTCTGTCCTTGATGGAGGAGGAGGTGGTTACCTCACTGCCCTGTGAGGGGAAGCTCAGGGAAAACTGGTTTAATATTTGGGATATGGCCTGCTGGTCAGCACTTCCCCACCTAACCATTCACAGGTGGAAGCCCCATCTTGGCCAGAACCCCACCAGGTAATCAGGTGACCCATGCTCTTTTCCTGAGAAGAAGGAGTTGGAGGAGGAATGGGAAGTGTTATCATCCCAATTAAGAAAAACTACTAGTGGAGAGTTGTCAACATTATTTTTCTGAATGCTTCTAAAAGGAGATGACATCCCCCTTTTTTTAAATTACTAATGTGGTACATTTGAGTTTTCTCTCTTTTTAGAATTTTTTATTGATTTGATTTGATACTGATTTGTCTTCCAGCTCTAGGATATATATTTCTGTTCTGCTCTTTTCCTGTTTTCTAAAGTATAATTTTCTGTTTTATCTACATTAATTTCTTTAGTCAACTTTTAAACACCTTATTATGGAAAATTTTAAACTTACAGAAAATTTGAAAGTGGAAATCCATATGCCCACCATCTAGATTCTGCAATTAACATTTTGCTATATACGCTTCTGTTTATCCATCTATCCTTCTATTCATCCATCTTATTTCATATGTGTTTCAAAGTACAGTAAGTTAAATCCTTTTTCTGTGTGTGTGTATTTCAAACTAAGTTGCAGATTTCTAACTTGGGTCCAGCAAAATGACTCCTGAAAAGAAGGGTGGCTAGAAGAAGGGCCATTCTGCCATCAGCAAGGTGGTGACCCGAGAACAAACCATCAACATTCACAAGTGTATCCATGGGGTGGGTTTCAAGAGGTGTGCCCCTCGGGCACTCACAGATCTGGAAATTTGCCATGAAGGAGATGGCGACTCCAGAGGTGCACATTGAAACCAGGCTCGACAAAGCTGTCTGGGCCAAAGGAATAAGGAATGTCCTCTATTGTATCCATGTGTGGTTGTCCAGAAAATGTAATGAGGATGAAGATTCACCAGACAAGCTCTATACTTTGGTTATCTGTTACCACTTTCCAAAATCTGCAGTCAATGTGGATGAGAACTAGCTGCTGATTGTCAAACAAAGTTATAAAACCAGAAAACAAAACAAAACAGAAGTTGCAAACATCAATACATTTTACCCCTAAGCACTTTAGCATTCATTTTTTGTTATTGGGCTAGTTCCTTTAGTCCAATACTTCATTTATTTTTCTCTATTTATATAAGTAACAATAATATTTAAGATTTATTTATTGACCATCTATTATGTTTCAGATTGTTTTACGAAATTTTTTTTTATCAAAGATTAGGGGAGAGTCTTCTCTTTCCAGGACCCAAATTAGGAAATTGGTTATTTTTATAAGTCAATTAATGTAAGATTCAGAGTTCTAAGATACACTATCAGTAAGAAGGGATTTTTCATTAAAGTCCTTTTATTTTCAAATCAAGGAAGTATTAAGTAATAATAAGTCAATATCTATAATTCTTTCTCAGCTCTTTGATGGTGAATCTTTTCTTCTCATTGGTTTCAGTGCTCTCAGGAAAGGGGTATCTCCATGGACATGACCTGGCCAATTCTCTCCTTCCTACCTTCCTCTTGCTTATCCAAGATTGCCAAAGATGTCACCTAAATACAATTTTTCTTTTCCATTTGGAGTACTGAGAGATGAAGTTGGTCT